AGAGAGAGAGAGAGAGAGAGAGAGAGAGAGAGAGAGAGACCTAGGAATGGCATGGGCTTTTGAAACCTCAAAGCCTACTCTTATTGATACATACTCCAACAAAACCACACTGTCTAGCCCTTCCCAAACAGCTCCACCAATGGGGGACCAAGTCTTCCAATATATGAGCTGTGGGGTCATTCTCATTCAAGCCCCTGAAGCGAACTAAGCCACACCCTGCTCTTACACAGCTGCTCACAGGAACTGCCTTGTTCTTTTTCAGATTCAAGGGATGACAGCATTACCTCCTGACATCAAAAGGCCTTATAAAGCAGAACCTTTGGTGTGTGGGACGTCAGCTTCCTCTCCTCCACATGACGTCTTCTCCCTCAGGTTGCTCGTGTACTGTCTGCTTCTTGGAAGTACGCTGAGCACCCAGGGCTTGTGACTGCTGTCCTTGGTGACACTAGAGTCTGGAATCTGAGACTGTCCTTTAAAGTCAGGTTAAAGACTGTGTTCATGTTGGGCCTGAAGAGATTGGTGTGATGAGCACAGAAACTTCACTTTCACACACACACCCTCTATTTTCCTCCCCAGTGTTCCTGAGCTATGTCACTGGGGTTCTCAAGAGTTTCCTTGTAAAAATTCATGTTCTGTGCCTATGGTTAGTAAAATAAAATGGACCTGACTTAACCACTTTGAAAGTTGGACAAGCAGAACGAAAAGAATGTTTAATTGTTTTCTATATTCGGTGTTACTCAATATCCACTGTTCAACCTGACATCCCTCCTTCTTTTCACGAACAACATCACAGGAATTGCTTTCCACTCCACCTTCCTTCATTGGTGTAACTCGCAAGGGTGAGCACAGCCCTGCTCTCTCTGGCATTGTCCAGTCCCTGAGTTTTCTATGACCTCTGACCTCAATGCTTTTCAGTGGTAGCTCTTGTGTTTCCTTGTTCATCTGAGTCTGTTGATACCCAAACCCAGATCTAAGTATTTCCCTGTCTCCACAGTACTGTTCAGCTGATTTTTTTTTATTAAGCTCTGTCACTCTCTTCAAAGAAAGGGATTCTGATAAATGTAGAGGTGGTGGTAGCTGATTGTAGGCTAAGAAAACAATGCAGATGGCCGCAAACCCCTTGCTGTGAAGGGTCCTAGATGAGATGAAATTCCAAAGCAAAGCGGACAGTGTGAGCAGGCAGGAAGCCATGGGTCCGTAATGTTCCTCACCACTGGGTGTTTCACACTGCCTCAATCTGAATCACATTTCTATGATAGATTTATTTTTATATTAGTTAATAAACTGACTTCCAACATAAAATTTCCACCAACTGAAGATCTTATCATTCTTTTGGTTCTCTTTGAATTAGCTAGTTAAATCTTGTTTTATGTCCTATCTTTATTCATATGGTCTATGTTTTGATCATATTAATAAACTTAATGGAATTAAAGTTTTTGTATAGTATCTTATGTGGCCCTCGAGAGAATTAAGTGATTGTATACTGATGTCAATAAAATCAGCTGAGAAACTGTATTTTTTTCCACTCTAAGCCCTTTCTGTCTTGCAAACGTAAACTATATTGTCATTTGAATAAATATTATGTTTTAGAGTGTTTGCTTCTTGATTCAAAGAATTTTCCATTTTGGCAATATTGAGATATTCTGTGGCTACTATTACTTATTTTTGTTTGTGTAAATGTTTCCTATCAGAGTGGTTTTTTTCCCCATTCAGTTATTGGCATAAGAAATATGATCACCTCAGATAACCCCTATTTGAAATTTTAGGCTTAATTTTACTTCAGAATTTCTGGATCTGAGGTATCAAAACCAAATTATTTCCATTGTAGATGAAGCAGCACTCCATTTACTGTCATTGTTCTTTGTAAGAAACATGAGCACACCCAACCATAAAAGAGTGAAGAGCTTTGGAAGCTGGCATGTAAGGAGCCCACCCAGGAGACCTCTTTCCACCGGCATTGCTGGCCGCAAAGCTGGCATTGTTGTTCTGCTAGGGTCTTTTATGACTACACATGGCTTTGAGCAATTACAAAAATGCTGGTAATAGGAGAGATTATGTAGTGAGAATTCTGCACAGAGCTCATTACATGCTAAGTTGTTTGATCTGACATGAAGTAGACCTTCTTATGCTGCCAGCGCTTCTTCATGGTCTTTGTGATGTTGCCTTGGACTAAGTCAACACATTAGCTGCTTCCTAAGGCTGTCAGACAGAGAAGCCTAACGTTTGAAGGAAAATGGAATCCAAACAAACGAGATGACCTCTGCTTTGATCCTCAGCTGCAGGGCATGTAAGAGAAATGTGTATGATGAAATTCAGAATTCATCATGGTTGGGAGGACCTTGGGTAGTCACGCTTTTCTGAAAGGGTCCAGGCAACGTCCTAGCACTGATAAGACCAATGCACTCAGCAGAGGCAAATATATTGAGCAACTTTGACCTGACCCTAATTCTAATGGCTGTAGACACCAGTGAAGGGACATTTGGAAGCAGAAATAATCATGTTGTACAGTTTGCTTTAATCAAACTCACCACTCAGCATGAAGACCATTTCTGGTTTTCTGTATGATGAGTATCATTAAGTTTCTTATAAGAAAAATTCTCATACCTCTGAGTATGTCTCTACAACTGATCTAATATATGAAGAATTAGGGAAATAATCACATGCATTCCCTTGAATGCTGATGAATATTGAAAATTGTCTTTAACTTTTCTTCAAATTTTCTGACATCTACCTATTTATCTTCTATTTACAGGGAGAATACATTATTTTTTACACATAATGAAAGGATAACAATTAAGGAGCTAGAAGGAAGAGTGTGGGGATTCATTGTATTATTCTTGCAATGATTTTTGTTTGGAACTATTTCAGAATGAGAAGTTACAAATGCAAAGGAGAGAATAGAGCAGCTAATGTTGACTTGATCCAAGGCACAGACACTCCAGTGGGCCCTCTGTCCTCTATAGCAGCCCTGCCTTTGGGGGTGACGAAGAAAGAGGCTGTACGGTTTGCTAAATCGGACTTACAACTGATCACAAAGGCTGTGTCTGGGCTTTGTGCCCTGATGCACAAGGAAGAAGGAGAGATGACTTCTGACGTCCAGTTTTTCCGGTTGTCACTAAATAAGTCTGTTATTAGTTTCTAAGTTCACAAAGGGAGGTGGGACGAGTAACCAAGAGAGAGGAAGAGTCCCAAGAGCAAAGATGAAGGACGAATTATGCCTGAGGATCATGACAAAGGAGACACAGCAAAGGCTTCCCTTTGCTTGTAAACCTAATGTGTGGCAGTGCCTATCTACTGGGGAAAAACAGAAAATGTGGTGGTACTTGGCTAGGTAAGACCACTTCTAACTTTCAGATGTGCATGCCTCTACTATATGCCCAGGAAGGTATCTATTTGTGTGCATCCATATGTAGATGTTGGTAGAAATGTGAAGGAACACTAAAATCCAGAAGAAATTCAAAATATTACCAGTTTAGTTACAAAAAGTTTACTTTTTATTTAATAGTTTAGTGGGCATGGCCCATTTCTGTGATTTCCGGTCCTTCTTGTGCAGAGGTAAGGCCCTAGGATCCTGTGGTTCTAGCATCCTTACCACCCAAGGGTACTCTGCATCCAAGCTAATATTGGAGAAAGGCTACCAAGAAGGGACATAAGTCACTCCGTTTGCACATTATTCATTAAAATTAGTCATGCGGCCTCATTAGAATGTGAAGACTGGTGAAGAATATGGTCTCTGGTACTTCGACAATGATGATGCCTGATGGAAAGACTCCATGGATGTAGGATACATGTTGGCAAAATTAATTTTTATCTAGTCTGGTAATTCTAAGATTTTTGAGTTCTAGAAATAACTACCAGAGTATATCAACTGCACGTTTTGCAAAATAGTAGCCAAGAGAAATAATAGTCATTGTTAATTGCATTAAATGCCTACTTAGATATAGATTCTCAATGAGTATTATATTTAAAACATGCACAAAACCAGGCATTGTCTGTACCATGATGAGAAGCAGAGTTTCATGGTGAAGCTCATAACTGAGTAAATCAAAACTTACCATGAACAGCTCATTTCTGAAAATGGATAGATTCAGAACAGATGTGAGTCCTTTAAATTAAATAAACACAGCTTTAGGAACAGCCTACTTCATCATCAGGGACAATTAATTTTTCCAAAGATGATTTCAACTATTCAATTGATTGATACAGTTTTCATCTTCACCCCACACCCTGCAAAGATCTTGATTGGCAGTCCAAATCCAACTGAGTCAAATTGATACATTATGAGCAGAAGATTCTCAATCAAACAGACTCATGGAAGAATCTGTTACTGCTCAGGTGAGAGCTATGCTCTATGGAAAATAAGAAGGGTGAAAATTGCTGCAAAGTACAACACACTGATTATAGAATTCCTGAATATCTAATTGTGCCTTTGAAATCCAAGAGAATTTGTCTGGTATGAAAGGTTTCCCAGACTCACTGGCCACTGTGTCAATGGTGGTAAGACAACATTTGTAAAGGAACACTCTTTGGGATACAACTTTTTAAGCTGGTTCTTTGCCACTCTGTTTTATTGATTGTTAAATAACCTATTGTTTATTAATTTAGAGTGGTGTGATTTACAGAAATAAAGAAAAGTCTTTACCTTCTAATAAAGAATGTCACAGGGATACCAACATATAAGGATTTAAAGTCTGCTCCAAAGCACAGAACTCTTGCCTTGTGCTGTAATCTATCCAAAAACTTATGGCTGGGAACTCACGGGCCCAAAGGGAGAACCCTCTATTATTACTCTGTTAAATTGGCATAGTGTCAAACCGCCTTCTGACATCTAACCCTATGTTCATCAATTAGTACAGTGCTAGCCCTCAGGGTTTTTTGTTTGTTTGTGGTTTTTTTTTGTTGTTGTTGTTGCAGTGGATGGTAGTTAATACAGTGTTTCACAGCTGGTAGCAGGACTGAGAATAAGCGACCATGGAATGCTCAGCCCTACAATTGACACCTACATCATATCCTCTCTCCCCAAAGCTCAAGAAATATTCAGGAAGAGAGGACAGAAATATTATAAGAGCCAGAGTTTGGAGAGGACCCCTGTAAAATACTGTCTTCTAGACGTGACAGTGCCATTGCACTCACAACTCCTTTTGCCTGCCCACTAAGATTCTGGTATGGATAGAAGAGCAACTCATGATGCCCCCCCCCCATAGTTGAATAGCTATTGGCATTGATGGCTGCTAGGGAGGGAGAGGCAATTTTCTTTAGGGCTGTGGCCCATTGAAGGTCGCATATAGTTGGATTCAGTGGGATAAAAGAAGGAAACAGAGTGTGAGGAAGAGGATTGAAGCAGACAAAGTTGAATCACTGTAAGATGAATCTTAAAAGGTCTTATTAATAAAAAAAAAAAAAAAACCTCAGGAGCCAGGTATTGGGGTAAATTCTGAAAGATCAGAGAGATAGAACAAGCCACAGGTAACCTCACCTCGCCAGCTTCTCAACTGATCCTGTTTCCTCAAACTGGAAGCCTCTGAGTCCTCACCCAAATGGATCTCAGCTGAACTGCTACTAAAAGCCTAAAAACTTAAAAGCCTTTAGTTCCTGGTCCTCAGACTTGATAAACTTTTCTGCTTCTTGACATCACTTCCTGGGATTAAATGCATGTGTCTTTCCCAAGCAAGATGTGAAATCTCAAATCCTAGGATTAAAAGTGTGTGCCACCATGCCTGGCTCTGTTTCCAGTGTGGCCTTGAAGTCATAGAGATCCAGATGGATCTCTACCTCCTGAGTGATAGGAATAAAGGTGTGTGTGCCACCATTTTCTGGCCTCTATGTCTATCTAGTGAATGTTCTGTTCTCTGACTCCAGATAAGTTTATTAGGATACACAGTATATTGGAGGACACAATATTACCATAAATCACTGAGAGGAATTGGAGGGAGAGTGTCCAGAGCGGTGTGATCTAAATACATTGTGTACATATACATGTCTGAAATTAACAAAAAATATTTTAAGAAGAATACACATTAGCAATTATATGGTATGAATGGAGTATCGAGAAATTTGACAAATATGGCTAAATATGTAGAGAATACACTGATTTCATTCACTTAGTTCCCAAGAGAAAGTTGTATTTTAAAATTATGCATTATTTCCCAACAATGGAAGGAGAATATCAGGAAACGGATCCCTGGAGATCTATTTTAAGCAACTCTTTCACCTGTTCTTCCTTTTGACATTTGTCAGTCTTCTATCACTTAGAGCAAAATGTTTCCAGTGGTTCGTCTGATAGTGAGCAGCTGAGTCCATTTACCACAAGGAAGGCCTGCTGTAGCCACTGCTGAACATTGCTTGGTTAGAATTCCACTAATTGTCTTTTGATTAACCATGCCCAGAGGACTTTGTGGCCTCTGCTTAAGATTTATTTAGTGAAATCATTTGGGTCCCACTTTCTCCAATATTTGAAACAGAGTAGATGTAATAAAAATACAAATAGACACCGGGAAGGATATTCTACAGACAGAGGGAACAAGTGTGAACTAAACCAATTTCTCCAGCAACTCATTACTCATTGCCACCAAAGTAACATATATGTGTAGAATATT